ACTAGTAACTGCTTGATACAACTTTTATTCAGACATAATGTAATTTGCATACAGCCACAGCATGCTAAAAATAGTGTGCTCTTAAGATTATAAGTATTGGGCAGTATTTAACTCTGATTGTGCGGTGCACATACATACAAACTCTGGCCACTGTTTCAAGGATTAATCAGACAATGGACAATTGCTCATTTCCCCAAGGAGAACGCAATTTATTCCTCATGCTCACAATTGACTAAGATTTAATTAACAGGTGGGACTTAGGAGGCGAGAACCATTAAGGATTAAAGTGGGAATCCTGGAGAAGCTGGACAACGGGCATCTATTGAGAAAGAATGGCTTAACACATGCAGATTAATATCATTCGAGCCCAGTTCAAGCCAATAATGACAACATCTCGTTAAAAAGGATAAGGCTGCTTTTCTTCTATGAAATGGGTTCACCATAGTGTACTCTCTTCACAAACACTGATAAAATAATTGAATAATGTGATTTCAGAGAAGAAAGGTTTGAACGAATGCAACCAGGATCCAAATGATGAGAGGTTATCCATTACATTTATTTCTCTTGATGATTGATTTAAGATATTATCATATCAGTATATCAAATTTTTTTATTCATGAGTTTAAATTTTAATTATTATATATGATTCAAAAATAATCAATAATCATATGAATTGCTATACATATTACTCAGAAACAAAATCACCGAATTGTGGTTACATAAGAATCGAGATTTAGCTGTCTTGAGATACAAATACGTTTGGACGATTGTGCCGCATTGTCTCCTGAAAGACTACTCGCCTCTATAGTACAACAACACACTACCAAGAATAGGAAGAAACTTGAACATAGCATTATAGGACAGTATGCACCCTCTAGTCTTCTTTGCTTCTGATTAGTAATTTTAGCAATATACTGTCTCTATGAAGGACAAACATCTAGTATCTATTCATAAATAAAAATGGAAAAGAGGATGTGCACTCTTTATGACGTAAAAATTTCCATATCAAAGAAAGATAACTAAATAGTGAGGCGAAATGTGTATCATCTTTAATATTTGTGATGAAGTATTTGGAACAAAATAAGGATGTTAGCATATAACTAACCGAATATTGTTTCACTTTTATACTTGATTTTATTCCTTATCATGTCACAACGCTCTCAATTTGAGTGCATGATACGCTCACGGTACATAACTTTATTACATGGTATGATTGGATATATGTTATGTCATAGGATATTAAATTATAATATTATTTTATATCATTTACTAGCATATTCTGTTTATATCTATACTCCTTTGGTGCTATAGAGGACATAATGTGCTCCGATCAGATTTTCGCTATGTATTATGCGGAAAGGATCAGCCTAATTCAGGAATTGATTTTAGGAAATTTAGTCTTTGCTCAACATTCGCTCGGATTGGACTACGATTACCAAGAAAGTCTGATCACTCCTACCTTTAATCATCTAAATTATATTGTTATTTTATGATATTTCTAACTTTTCTATTCCTTCCTAGGTTACTAACCTTGTTCATGTGAGTAGTATGTCAGTACGCTGATTGTAGCGTCCGGGGCATGGTCATGAGTTACTTTCATGAGGTAACTGAAATTGTGGCTTCTGATCAATTCTGGATCCTTTAATATAAAGGTGTGATAGTGCAAATGTGTATAAGGTTTGAAATGACCTTCTGATGATATGAAGCTCTCATAGAGGCTATATACCAGATTTGTTAGTGATATTTGATTAATTTGTGATGTTCATAGAAAAGAACAGAATTGATATGTCCACCTTAGCAGGTGACAACAACAGGAAATATTTCCTACAAAAGCTTACATAAATCATACAAAAAATATATCTCACGGAAGCATCATTGAAATTTCGTAATCAATCTTAATTAGTATTTTTAACACATCTTGAATTTATTACGCTTGCTTCGCCAACACTATTTCTCTCCCCGGAACTCATACTTCCACTCCACAGGGATGCACACGCCAGGGAGGTTGGCACATAAACTTCACTCTCCTGGCCCCACAGGGCAAGGTTGAGAAACCTTTGGACAAACCGAAGTAAATTTTACCCATAAACCCAGGCCTTCTCGATGTCCACGCAACAACCAACTCGCTTGTTTGCGATCGCGGGTCATATGGACCCAGCTATACTTTTGTGCATTCCTTACAAGCCAGGGCAAGGGAACCTCAGCATCATTGCTGAAGGAGACCTCTCAAACCCCAAGGGAACTAGTCGCATGACAATCGCCCAACACGGGAAGACGATGAGGACCCTGCCTTAACAAGCACACCTAGCAACGGGCAACACATACTGCATCCAGATGAAATCGCACCTCTCATCCCAAACCACCTTCTCCCTCTATCGGTGTCGAGCTTCAAGAAGCACAAATTACACCCAAGTTTGGGGGCCAGACACAATCAGATCTCCAACAATTGAAGAGCTCAATCTTACACTCGCTAAAATTACTAGAATTCGGGTACAAAATTACTTGTGGAGGATATTGAGAGAGAATTAATTCTTTTTATTTACTAAAAACAAATATATAATTAAGGGCACGTAAATTATGGCAGGGAAGATAGATAGACACTAATTGGTTTCAATTCTAAGAAAGTTTGAAGATTTGCAGATATGCACATTATCACACTGATGCTAAGAAAAGATCACTTTAAATTGACAAAGCACCTTCTGGGCGATACTTATATAATAAGAACAGAAAATTTTATTTATTAATCATAGCGAAAAAATCTCAAGTTCAAGAATTATGTCTTAAACTTACACCCCTGAATTTAATTTATTCGAGAGAGTACCAGGAAAAATTAAACACTGCAATCGTTCACACTATTCTCAGGGCTAAGCCTATCCCTCATGATGATCCTTCTCTCATACTTACAAATCTACAATTAATTCCAGAAGTACACCAACCTTAAATACTTAACCCTATGCGTACATCGATTAATGCCACTAGGAACAATTTAGGCTCTGTACGTCACACATCAACTCTTGCTCTACACTTTCCACTCCTTAAATCTCGTTCCTACAAGTTGATATTTGAAATCACATTCAAAATCTCCCCAACTGTACCATACTCTTTAATCACATTATTATTAAAATATCATTAATTAGATATTTTGCTATCAATGAGCTAAGATAAATTGATCTAGAACCCGCTTAAAATATCAAAAGCACCCGAACTAGATCGAGCAACTAATTCTCCCAACTTCTGTTTTTTTATTTTAGCCTCGTCCCGCCCGCAATACAAACACGCAGCCGATGCATACATCTCCACCTCTTTAACGATTCTGTGGACCACTCAATCCAGTGGAGGCGCAACATAAGTGCGTCTATTTTAAACAATAATCATTTGAAGCGAGACTAAGTCTCGTTAGCGAACTCCACGGGATCTGTGACTCGTTGGTAAAATTAGAACCAAAAAAACAAAGAAACACATACAACAAACCATACAACTACATGCCCCTACAGTGGGTCGATTCCACACGAGTCACTGTACTTCAGAGAGGCACCACAGGACTACAATGCATCTATTAGAGTTCGAGAACCCAAGGAACTAGGTAATATGAAACACTTAACATCAAACTAGGCGCTATATTTGCTCAGGCCAAAATCCGAGGACTTTAGATAGCTGGTCAGGAACTATACTAGTCAAATTTATTCCTATGGTGCCACATTTGACAAAAAAGCTTCATACCAACCCAACACCTCTTTGCGACACTAAAAGGGGTGACTAAATTGGTAAGTATACAACACCAAGAATAAACTATTGACTCGTACACGAAGGTCAACAAGTCAACATAATAAGAGTTCCTAAACTTATTTAGACTTTTTTAAATGACTTATAAATAAACAACAAAAAAAACTCGGAACAAGACACATTTTCTGGCAATACACAAATCCCATATTTTGAATATCGCAAACAAAAGAACGGGTAAGTGAATACAATACCATTAATATAGCATTATAAAATGTGAGCAGTGTAATACGAAATCAGAAACAACAAACTTCTGTCAATTGGGAAAGAAAAGCAGTTTAGGATTATAGGGAAGACTTCCACAATTTGATTATTTTAAATGGACTCGTAATAAAGACTATGGAAGTCCAATATAAAGGGATATACTATCTATTATGCTCAATTACTTCCAATCATCTCAGAGCCTAAAACTCCTATTACCTCTGAATAAATCTTCCATGTCGAGTAGTCTGTCGGACAGGGTCGATTAACCATGAATCTCTTTTTGGACACATTCAAAAGACACTAACCTCACAAAACCTAATTGGCACTGATAGGAAACAAAGAACATTCGCAGAGGCACTAGTTTTAGAAAAATATTTATAGAATAATTATCAACTATGGCTGCTGAGTTCCCGAGCTGAAACACGAAAATTTCGTGAAGGATCTAAGCAGACCGCTCCTATTTTGGAGGTTCGAAATCAGTCATATCGAGCAGGTGAGACCATTTCAGTGATATCTTGAGAGTTTAGGAGATTCAAGAGGAGGATAAAAAAACAACTAAAAGCACTTTAGCGACAATGAAATGGAGACTGGCTTTAGATTCACATTAGCTCCTAGAACTATAAGGAAGTCAGCATACACATTAGGTTAATAACACAATTGAACTGTTATTTCTGAAAACGACTATTTTTAACGTCAACTACACTTCCCACGCACTTTTGCGGGGATTTTTGGAGGGCTTTTTATGTTATATCGAGAATAAGTTTTTCAATAATTTCATGTTTGCAGTAATATATCGTTTTGTAGGTTCATTAGCTATTTGTGCCGCAACGATGCGACAAACAACTAATTACCAAACGAGTTATTGTGTTCGAGGTATAGTCTATCATGTTATGAGGAGAACTGAGACAATAAAATCAAAGCTGTTAGATCTTCACCATTTTCTACGTAATCAAAACATGCTGATGATAATCGTGTGCATACGCAGTAATAAACCTCTTCGCAAGAAAAATACGTACAGCGTCTACCAAGACTTTAAGAACCAAGGAATCCACTTGGAGTAAAGTCTGAGCCAGCTGGTTCCGGAACTCAATGTACTGCCGAGAAGAAGCCCGAATTTCCACCTCGTGGCGTCTAACGAAGTTTTTTAAATATATGGCCGCAGCTATCTTCAAACCTTGGGAATCACCGACTAAAGCAAGCGCAGCTTCTCAGTAAAAACGATAAATCTTCGATAAGCGATCTAAGAGGGAGGAGAAAAACAAACCTGTAGTTATGGCGAGGAGGGAAAGGAGGAAGCCAGGTTGGGAAGAGAGCCGATCGAGAAGGTCAGCAGAGGTGGAAACCAGGTTTTCGTCCGGGCTGATGGTATTGTTGAGAAGACGGGAAATTTCGGGGATTAGAGATTCCATGAGCCCTAATTCGAAGATGGATGTCTAAACCCTAATATCCCGCTGCAGCAGGAGGTGGAGGGAAGAGAATTTATTATTGCACTAATTGGAGTCGGAATCAAATGGCGGGAAAATAAAATCACGGAATGATGAACATTGAGCTGTACTTCCAAGATTTTTTTTTTTTTTTTTTTGTAAAGTGGGTCATACCTCTCCTTTTTGTATTTCTCATATCTCTCATGATTTTGGCTTTGTTTGGGACTTTTTTTTTTTTGTAAAGTGGGTCATACCTCTCCTTTTTGTATTTCTCATATCTCTCATGATTTTGGCTTCGTTTGGGACGGTTTTTTTATTGCTTCATAAAGCAGCCTTCTAATATAAAAATTTTAAGTTTTGTATTAAAAAATTGTTTTATGAAGCAATAAGAAAGCCGTCCCAAACTAAGCGTTTGTCTAAATGTTGTAGCATCTCATAAACTTGCATCTCTCTTTGCTTCTACAACAATTGTAGGAGCATCAGTTAGCTCAAGTAAAAGGAAATTAGTTTATAAGCATCAAATTTATGAGAGGAGATTGTTGATCAATACATTAATGATTACGATATAAGAAATCGCTTGAAGATTTTGAATGTTGAGAATTGAATTTATTTAATTAATAGTTATATAGTACTAAACGTAAAAAGCCCCAACTTCAAAACCTCTTGTGATTTTCTCAACAACATCACCTTCATTTTTTGCAAAATTAAAAAATTCATGAACTTTACTCTATCATTGCTCCCTCTTGCCTTTCCTCTATCTCCTTCTACAAAGCAACCATCCACCCCAAGCTAGCTTTTTCCACTACTATCTTCTTCCCTTATAGCAAGCCCTTCTCTTAATTATCTTCCTCCTCAACAAAGAGATAGTCGCAAGCCCTCTTTATCCTACCTTTCACTTCTTGTTCTTCATGATTATGATTTATCATTCATCTTCTATGCTTCAGCAAGCAAGATAATTTAATTTTCTTTAAATTTGTAGAAGGTTGAATAGCTTTATATGTTGTTTGTATTATATTAAATTATTTTGATAATTTATTTAGATATTTAAAAAGCGTATCTATTAAATGATATAATTATGACTTCATTTATATCGAAGGGTATATTAAACTCTATGATTAAAGTCAACAATTTAAGATTTTTTATCTCATTGGAGTATTAATTAATTTTTATTCCA